TTTTCACTACTCATTCATTTCCGTTTGTTCACATTTTTGGGTTTTTGTTAATTGGATGAGTAGGTACCACAAGAAGGAAATTAGTTGAAGTAACCCACAAACTATTTCCGGATTTAGGCACGAATAATAGTTTTTTTATTGTCTCATCACATCAGGATTGTAAAAAAAAAAGTTTGTTATTAAAACAATTATTGAAAAGTAATTTTTTTAATAGAAGGAAACTGGAAAACTTTGTGTACCAATAGACTGCCAATAGAAAGTGCAGCATTATACAAATCTACTATGAAGTGCAGCAAATAGCATACAAACAATCTACATTGCAAGTTATTCTTCTGTTGTGGACTCGCACAATTTTCTTTGGCGAAAAGATAACAAATTAATAGAAAAATAGAAATATTTTATTCTATTATAGCACAAATCAAATCATGTAAAACATAGCTATTTTAATATACCTTATTATAGTGGAGCAGATACCTCGATTGCCAATTTTACATTTTTGCAATTGCAACTTAATCAAAGCGAATCTTTTTTCGGAAAAAATTAGTTACCGACAATTTAAAAACATCTCAAAGTGATACACAAAATTTTGTATTTTTATAAGCAAAATCTGTCCGAAGCGGTGATTTTCAAATTCCTTTTCGAAATCATATGGACAAAAATATTATATATATTGCTTCGATTGTAACATGTAATTGTCTGAAAAGAATATTCACATCGACAATTATGTACTTGACACACACCCACACTTTTGCAGGCATTAACCAACGTTGGTGGTCATGATATGCTCATTTCTTTCACATAACTAAATTAGATTTCAGCAGGAAACTGGTTTTATATTGGCGCTTATTGTTATTTGACCTGTTCTTTGTTATCGTTAAACCAAATCAATGATACAAAGACAATTCTTATATAGTCTGTGCATACCTATGGAATATACATACATACATACCTCCATAAATACAAAAGAAAAACGATCTCGATTCTTATCATTTAAATACACATTTTTACCACACTCTAACCTCAACAATACCAGCAAGGTATGAAATTGTTTCTCATGAATACCAAATGCCTGTTTGGCGATAATAAGCGTGTAGTACTACAAGCAACCGCATATGTGTTGTTGTAGTGCATTTTCATTACAGGGCTGTTTAATGAGTACTCATATTGAAAAATATGCATTTCTGACGGCGGTAATTTTTAGTTTATTCATGGTTCTCATTATGTGTTTTTTCCCGACATAATGTGGAAAAGACGTTGTTTCGTTAGGTCTAATAGTTATCGGTAAACCAAGTTATAGTGGGATTCGATTTTTAGTATCATTTTCAATTTAATTTGGGACGAAAACGGATATTGAGATCTCTCGTAAGTTTTTTTTGTTTTTACCAATAGTTGGCTGAAAAATAGAAGTTATTGTTGTTGTAGCGGCAGTTTAGTTCACAGTCCGTTGCCGTATAAAATCTCGGTGTGTTCCAGTTACGCAGACCCGACTGTCGTCGTGGGAACATAGAAATCAGTTCTCTTTCTTGCTTGATAAATGTGATTTTATAAAGCAGATTTAGATGAACGTATGTATGTGTTGGAAATTCTGAAAACTCCCAGTAATAATTGGAGTGAAAAATTCCTTCAAATACCATTTTCCATTTACATACTTTCACATGTATTTACATACGAACACCCACTATAAAAACGGACCAATGGGTCGATATGAATGTAGACCAGCATTGAAAATTTTGCTAGTCCAGTATAATCTGTATATTTTTATTTAACTTTTCGGGTACAATGGTGGCGTTGGCGACGGCGGTCTTTCTCTTTCATCACACGCACAACTCACAACTCAAACGGGTATAATTTCTCATTTTCATGCTGTTATTGTTCGTAGAATCTCAGTTGTTAGAGTTTTTCCCATATAATAAAACGCCCTGAACAATCAACGATCGAAGGGCGATCAAACGTACATACATAGGTACATACATACGTCTGTTCACAGGCTGGACTTGGTACATTTGAATCTGTAATAGCCATACAACGGTAGTAGCCTTCTCCATTTACTCCTTCTGCTTGCCTGCATGCGTTCTCGCATTTTCGATAGATCATTAAAAAAAATTAAATTAGAAGTTCAATATTAATGAACGAACGAACGATCGTTTGTCGTGGTTGGTCAACTCATGTAGCAGCATCCATCCAATTTAGGAATTTCGTTGCTTCAAGTCAAACTGTTATGGCACATTTTTTGTATTTTTTTTTTGTATTTCATTGATCTTTACCGCAAAGCGGGGAACCCTGCAGGGTAATGCTATGGAAAACTGATCGATGGCTCACGATCTTCGGCTTACAACATTCTATGGCCTTATGCATTTATGCTACGCTACTGCGCCTGCGCCGTATGCTACAATATCTACATTCAAATTGAAAGCGCAGCTTGTTAAAGCATTTTTGGTGATTGTTGCTTCATTCGCCGCTGCTCGAACACATTTGGGTCTGCGCCTGCGCCTGCATATTGAGTGCATTCTTCTTATCTTTTGTTGTTGCTTTCTTTATGCTCTGTGTGTGTTTAGGAGCATTGCTGCGTTTGCTTTTGTTGTTGGCGACAACGTCGTTGGTGATCGCTGCGTGATTGCATTTCTTGGAAGGACGACTCAAGAATGTTTTATTTATTTTTTTCTCGATTTTTTCTTTACATTGCATTCGCCTTAATGCTGTTCTTCAGATACTTCCTTCAGCTTTCTTTCAGTACACATATACACTTGTATGTGTTTTTTTTTTTTGTATTAAGTGATTGTTGAATGCATTCTCGGAGTGGTTCTTGGGTTCCCAACTGTAAAAGCAAAGTATGAAAATATTCTTTTTTCCCACTAGAGTCACGATTGTTGTTGTTGCTTGTTATTCTTGTTATTGTTGTAGCTCTTGATCATGTAAATGGAGCCTATGCAGTGCATGTGTGTGTGTGTGTTTGTGCGACGATATCTGGTAGTACCACATTCCAATCTCAGAATGAAGCAAACTTGAAACCAGAAATAAGACAACCAAGAATTGAATTATTCCCACCGAACTGAACTCCAACTCTAACAGACAGACATATCTACACATTTTTATAGACAAACAACATGTAAGTATGTATGTGAGTGCATGTTGTTTTATGTTGCTGCATTATGTAGCGTTATACTTCTTCGGTATGTTGAAGCAGCGAGTATTACCTGGTGGCCGCTTGCTAAGGTTGAATTACTGACTGACTCTTACATAGCCACTTTGTACTGTGTTGCTATGCTTTGCGCCTTCTACACTGCTATGAGCATTCTCCGGTTCTTTGACTGACTCGCTGGCATTCAGAGGCCGCCCAGTGCGTTGGCTTGCTCCATTCTTTGTATCCAGTGTTGATTTTCTAATAAGAATCTAACTTTGTTGTTGGTCTGCGCTTGCGTGTCGACATACAACAACAGTAACTTATTTACATATGTGCATACATACATACATACATCTGCAATTCTCTCACAAGTCGCCAGGTAACTTGAACATAACTAAACCAAACAATAAAAAAAACTTTGAAAAAGTGGTTTAGCTGCATTCCAATGTATTTTATTGCATTTATGTTGGGTTGACCAAGCGGCGGGCCATATGACGTTGCCAGATATATTTTTAAAGGAACATAAAAAGTTTAGTAACTCTTAGAGATAATTGATCTTTTCGTATAGCTGGCCGTCAAAAATGAAATTGGTCATTTCAGAACTGATATAGACATAGCAAGACTGTCTGGTTTATTCGTTTTGAGGTCTGTAACCAGTCAATGAGAGAGAGGGTAGATCGGGGACAATTCCTCCCAAGCCCGGAAATCTCAACACAGCCCGGTAATTTGCAATAATTTTTTGCAGATTTCTTCCAACATCGATTGATGAATCAGTGGCCCACATTCTGGACCCCGGTTCTGTTTCTACGGAACTGCCTGTAACGCGCCTTCTGGTTATATAGTTTCTCAACTCTGTAAAGTTAAACCATTATAATTAGGAGTTTGAAAATCTCAGCATTTCGGCTCAGTACCTAATACACAAGAAAGATTTTTTAAAAGATAAAAAGAAACTTACAGAATACTGAGAATTCATAATTATTGTAAAATAATATAAATAGATCGCTAGATTATTCTCTTGTTTAACATAAAAAAAAAAACAGTATGGAAAACCCTTCAGCCTACTCACCGTAGCACTACACATTTATCTCTACTTCAGTTATATTCCCACTCACTCTCATCTGGTAGCACTATCACCCCTATTACTTCGCATACTTGGCTACAACTCTACTACTCTAATGTAGATATTTTATTTTTGGTCTTTTCAATGCGGTTTCCACGAACGTCCATGGTTGAATGTAGTTTTGTCTCCCGTGACTGCATCACTAGTGCATTAAGTCTGTTGGTGCCAACACGCACGTACGACTACGTCAGAGAAGAAAAATAGCAAAACGTGGTGGAAAATTTTTAACTAAAAGTTTTAAAAACTTACAAAGCAATTGAAAATTGTTTATAAAATTTAGTGATAATTTGTGTTAAATATTGTTTTTGTTAATATTATATTATTGAGAGTGTGGTTATTAACTTAAAAAAAAAAACATTTCTTTTTCTTGAAAGTTTGAAGAAAAACGAAAACTTTCGTATGAACTGTTCGTCTGCACTCGTGCGATTATGTGCAGCAGAGTGAATACTTGCTTAATTAATAATTGAACTTAATTTATTTGGATTGTAGCAGCTGTTAGTATTAAATGTAAGTGCAAAAATTCTTTAGGAATTTAAATTTATATATTTCATTTCCTTTTAATATTTTAATACACATATATATAAGTTGTAGTGTGGTCACATGTGTCATAGAGCTATTTTTCAAAGCGCTGTCGCTATGTGGGGCGGCTTTACAACTCTTGCTTAAGTAAATTGACTACTTTTTCCATGGTGATTTTCGTTTTTAAACTTGTTTTGCACCTTGTAAAAAATAAAATTTCCTTTAATTTATATGAAATTATTATTAAATTTATTATGAATTTTGTGGTTACTTATTCGTAATAACGGCAAGTTTTCTTAAATCAAATATATTTTTCATTTAAACAGTAAATACAATTACAAAACAATTGCTTGCTGTTGTTGTGAAAGCTTGATTTGTGATTTACAGAGCAGCTGTTTTTTTATATCGGGTTTTCATAGTTTAGCTGCTGTTGAAACTGAAAAGCAGGAACACATATGCACGAGAAAAAATATAAAATAACACGTATTTGTGTGTAAAAACTGTTTACAACAATGGTAAAACATTAACAACGTTAAATATTTAGTAATCCCAGCAATATATTGACGCTTTAATCATTATTGTCATTTTTATAAGTCGTACATGGGTGGGTTGAACAACCTTTTCGCATATGTAAGCTTTTGAATTAAACACCAAAAAATTTGAAAAACAGTGTTTTTCAAACACTAGCAAAATTATAAGGGCCATTTAATGTCTATATTTTATTTAGCCAACAACGGGCCAGACCATATTCGATTCCTAATTCTTATTTTTGAACCACACAGTAATCATTATGGGTCTTATCGCTACAATATACAACTTTAGCGAAAAAATTAAACTTATTTTCTCTACCTCTATCCTTTCCGCGAACTGGTTGCTGGAACTTGTTTCCAATCATTATGGTTATTTTCTTCTCTACTCAAAACTAGCAAATCCTATTTTAACAGCCATACAGTAATAACTCTTCAATTGATTAACATAAAATATTATAAATTGTTGTTTTCAAATTTCCAATTCATCCCACTTAGTTTGAAATATATAAGTCTATCACTATCACTAGTTATAAAGACTTGACTTTACGCCTGGTAACATTTTTCGCAACACTCCTCGTGCATTCGATTACTACTCGTTGCATCGGCTTACTCGTGCATTTTTGCTCGCCTTCGACCTGCAAGTCCAACAGGGAGACCAATGCATTGCTATATTGCCGTGTGCCATGATGAGTTAAATTATCATTTCTTCATACATATGCTTTTGTACTCTATATTCATTCCAAAGTGGCGGTTGAAAAAAATATTCCTCCTATACCATTGTTGGGTGGTGATTGTTGTTGGCATTTGTGCATGCTACCATCACACAAACAATAACAGCAGCAAAAGTTTGTCTGTCGGCGAGATTTTTTCATATTTCCATTGATGGTTCCTGCATTACTCCGGCATATAATGTTGCCACCTCTTTCTTTCGTGTATGTAATTCCAGTCAACTCGCCGAAGCGTTTGTAGAGATTGAAGCGAGACCAGACCAGCATTGTATTCGTCGTTTGTTTGTCTCTAGTGGCAGCTTTAACGAGTAGTCTGTTGTTGTTTTGCTTTTAAAACTTTTTTTTTCATTTTTCTGCTGCCACTTCAATTGTTTTGCTGTTGCTTGCTGGTTTTTTTTGTTTTTTATATGTTGCACTCAAATTGCTGTTTGACCACATTCCATTGAAACTTTCTCACAGTCTGCTGCAATTGCCCCCAAGTTGGTTCGGTTTGCTTGGTTAATAATAATATTGCTCAGCGACTGACTGGTTTGGCTTTGGTTTCGTAGTTGCTGTTGCTTTTCGCTCGCTTACAGCAATTTCTCGTAGTTACAAATGCAATGCTATTGGATATCTATGTACATACATACATATATAGATGAAACCCAATCCAATTCACTTATAAATCACCAGCTCCACAAGACATTATGCTTCTTGCCAGGTCTTTTTACGGTAGTTTTTTCTCGTCCGCTGGCTATCAAGAAGGGGAGTGGTATATTTTTTTTAAATAATGTTTTCTATAGTATTTTCCAAATTATTTGGCTTTGTCGGCGAATATTTCCAAATTACAATATAAAAGTTTGCTGGAGGCACTAACAAGTTCCGTTTCTGGGAACTTGATTACTTGATTAAATTAGGAGAATATAGAGCGCTGTATAAGTAGTAGAACTTTATTGATAAATCGGGATATATGTGATTTGTAGTTTGTAAAAAATTACAGTTTAAAAGTCCTTGACTCGAAGGTATTTGTCAGGTTTTAATTAACTTCGAGCAGTTTCGAAAATTTACGCATACAACATTATTTTTATCTACTGGAAAACAAAATGCGTTCTTCAAAAATATAACTAATTGCTTTGAAAGCTTTCGAGCTTATATTATGTTTTGCAACCGTTATTTTATATACATATGTATATGATAATTAAAAATTCACATTTGTAATCGCTTCAAAGATAAAAATATCGTTCTTGCAAATCAAATATGTATGTTTTTTGTCAATATTTCTAGACACCTGCGCCCCGATAAGTATGTATTATCTATTTGTCTACTGCGTTGCCACATTTCACATCGACGCCATTACAATTTTTTGCGCCACACTTACTAGCTTGTAAATGAAACTAAAAAAAACGCATTTTCCAACGCTATCAACACGCGATACGAGGAGTATTTGGCGAGAGCCAAGTGCAGTCATTAGCTTGTGTGATTGCAAAAAATATAATTTCTCCTACACCCTTACAACCACTCCGCTTAAAGAAAGAGAGCTTATTGCAAAATTGCTGCTAACTGTCATGCAACTTTTTCCCCGAACTTAATCGTACATTCATCTACGCCGGGTCATATGCTTTCGTAGACGATAAACTTCGTTCGGTCGGAGCCCTGACGCGCGAGCCGAGGTCGTTCATCGCAGGGTTCATTGATTATTATGTCTACAATACTACAAAACCCTACATGACATGATGGTTGTTTAGAGATGCGATCTATATGCTTTTGCGAATGGCATTCACTTCGCCTGCTGCATGCCAACCCACGCTGTTCGGTCGTCGTCCTTGTTGGTGTTGGTTCACTTCGTTTTTTGGCCGCCATTACTGCACTGGAAATGTCCTGCGCAGCTAGACACTGCTTATAACCTTGTGTACGTATGCATGTGTGTGTGTGCGTGTGTGTTCGGAAGCCACCCAACTTGTGATTTATGATTTGCCAAGAATACACATACATTTTTATATCACTTTCCTTCCAGCGTTAGAGCAACACCTAGACGAGGGCGACGAATTGCGAAAATGCATTTTCGTCGGTTAACGACTTAGCTGACTTTGGCTTTTACGGTCGTTGCTCGTTTATGAGTATTTTGCTCGCATCTACGCTAAACGAGCACAATGTTGTATGCGTACTCCAAAACCGAGTGTTATATAGTACTCGTATCATATTGAATCGGCTCTGTAAAGCATACGGTCGTCGTCTCGTTGACGTAGTATACTCACTCGCTTGTAGCGTAGCGCCCATAAATGGAGAAGCTTCGAACGAAATTTCTTGAAACTTCTGCCATCATCATCATCGTCCTTGTTTGAATAAGTGCATTGCAGCTGCTGAGAGCATATCCTGTCGTGCAGCTGGTTAGCTGGCGTTAAAGGTGTACGCTCACACATGTTATCTGTTTCCACCCTTAATTAATGTCCTTACGCTGTTGTAGTATGTCCTGCGCAGCATTTTTACTCGCTCGTTTGTCAGTGTTCCTTGCCAGCTAGCGCTTTGTGCTCATCGCTTCCAGGATTCAGTCATCAGACAGACATCGTCAGGACACATCGGTCGTGCTTTGCTTTTGTGATACACTACGTACAATATACATACATACAAGTATATACAAATATAGTGTACTTTCCTCACAAACTCTTATTTGAACTGTGAAAAAGTGGGATATGGGCATAAAAATGGCGCCGTTGCTATTAACTGTCTTCGTGTAAAAAACGTCTATGGCTGAATGATTGCTTCGTAAAGCTGTTAGCGTATACATACGAAAAAGTTTTCATCGAAGGTATGGGTTAAAAGGCATTTAGTGCAAAAAATATTCATTAAATTTATTTTGAAATAACTAGAGTTATGTTTTCGATAAGATTACAGTTACATATGTACGCATGCATCATAAAAATTTCCAGTTAAAACGGAAGTGAGTTTTTTTTTTACGAATTTCTTCGAGCAATATAAATGTAATAATAATCTAAATTTAATTCTAAGGAAGTACGAAATATAACAAAAAATTATGCAGATATCAAGTCTTTGAACTTTTCTTACATAAATTGTAGTATGTTTTCAGTTCTAAAAAAATGCAATAACTAATAAAAGCTTGTCTATTGATAACTTAAGTACTTGAAATATGAAATACGAAAGTATTTATTTGGCTGATTTAATAACAGGGTATATCTTATATGTATACGTAATTCTCTATAAAAGTCACACAATTCTACTCAGTCGGAATTGAAAAACATTCGCAACAATAGTTGACTGAGAACCTTTGACGTTTACACAACGTTTTTTTATTAGTTTATAAAATGTAGTGTATATGAGAGTAAGCGGGTAAATACAGCAAACGTTAAATGCAAATAGTAGGTGTATAAAAAAATTAAAGCTAAGTTAGTTACATGGAAAAGGGGAAAAAATGAAAAAAAGTTGTGAAAAACTAAAATGTAACAAATATTAAAAATTATATATAAAAAATAAAAATTATATATAAAAATAAAAATTATATATAAAAAATAAAAACTATATATATATAAAAAAAAAAATTATATATAAAAAATAAAGGGAAAACTTTAGTATAACGTCCCACGCTTTCGGGGATAAAATGGGTATGGGCGGATAGAGGAGATCCTCCAGATCAAGAATATATATAGATATAGCCGCGGGAAACTTATAGTTTTCGAGATATTTGGGTTTAAAGTTCAAAATTTCGACTATTTAAAGTACGCATTTTTCCCATTTCGAATGAGTTATACACTTATATTTTCCACTTTTATATCCACTAACACTTCACTAATTCGTTTGTACACATTTATTTTACATTATATAGTGCAAAAATAGTTTAATTCAATAATTAAATTATTGTTAAATTCTATTAATTCTGACAATAACAAAAGGGTTGCAAAATTTCAAATAACCAGTGTTACCTTATCGCCATCTTTTGTAATTGAACTGAAAGAAATTAAAACAGATAATACCCCAAATACAGGTATCCAAAACCTAGAGAAATAAACTATTACAAAGCATTGATGTTAAGTATTATGCTATACCCTCTATGACAATATTACTTTTTTCTTGTAGAACTTTTTGCGTTGGCGGCCTTCGGCCGCGCTTCAAAAAAATAACCCTGGTCGGTCCAACACCGGGGTGTATCAAGGTTTTTTTGCGCAGAACTCCTTTTTGCGTTGGCGGCCTTCGGCCGCGCTTCAAAAAAATAACCCTGGTCGATCCAACAACGGGGTGTATCAAAGTTTTTTTGCGCAGAACTTATTTTTGCGTTAGTGGCCTTCGGCCGCGCTTCAAAAAAAAAATAACTCTGGTCGATCCAACACCGGAGTGTACCAAAGTTTTTACGCGCAGAAATTCTTTTTGCGTTGTTTCCCGTATCTAGGATACAATCTCTCTGTTAATTTTATTTTTCTTCGTTTGCAAAATGTATTAGTATGGCAACACTGATGTTTTGACATTCACAACCATTTTGTTATTGTCAAAATTAATAAAATTAAAGAATGATTTAAATATTGAAATAAAGCTATTTCTGCAGCATCTAATATAAAAAAAATTTCTAAAAACGAATTAGTCAAGTGTTAGTGGATATAAAAGTGAAAAATATAAGTGTATAATTCATTTTAACTCGCAAAAATACGTACTTTAAATAGTTCAAATTTTCAACTTTAAACGTAAATATCTCGAAAACTATAAGTTTCCCGCGGCTATATCTATATATATTCTTGATCTGGAGGATCTCCTCTATCCGCCCATACCCGTTTTATCCCCGAAAGCGTGGGACGTTATTCTAAAGCCGACCCAAAATAAAAATTATATAAAAACTAAAATATAAAAGATATAAAAAATAAAATATAAAAATAAAATAAAGCATAAATAATAAAATATAAAAATAAAATAAAGCATAAATAATAAAATATAAAAATAAAATATAAAATTTAATAAACAAATTAAAGGTAGTAACAAAAAATCAAAAACTCAAAAACAATAAGTGCAAATTTTACTTGAAGTATAATATATTAATATAAACAAATTACATACCTGAATGCCAGCGTTATTTGGCATAACAACACAAAACTATTTCGTTACTCATCGCACAATTGTTTTTAATTGCAATAAATGTATGTTTTTTTTTCGAAATAGTGGCGCCAGCATTTATCTAATCTTATTTTGCTCAAAGATACCAAATTGTGCAAGTTGTCAATACAATACGTAATAGAAGAAAAGAGAGAGAGAGAAAGAGAAAATTAAAATAATAAAAGCTCGGGGAGTGACACTTTCTGAGTTGTGTCAATAATAATAATTATAAAAATTTTTGCAAAAGCTTTTAATTGCAACTAGAAACCTCTCTAAAAAATATATACGTGAACTCTGTCAGCAAGCGTAGACACTTGTCAACAATGAGTTACAAAATGGGAGCAACAACTTCTTATCTATTCATACTGATTTTGCAAACACCTTTTATTTGTGTTCTATATATTGACTAACAAAATCGTTTACTTTTATTCTACTTGCAGACTTACAATCGCAATAATCGCAGCATATTATTATTATTAAACCAACAAATTTATCGTAAAGGAAGTAAAGGACAACAGCAGCAAGATGTCTGAAATAATTGCCGAGAAACCGTCAAGTTACAATACAACTAATACTACGGCCGCCGAATTAGCAAGGCGCCTAATTTTTGAGTGTGGTGGTTGGACAGCGGGTAGAAACAGCTACGACGTAACGGATAACAAAACGAATGAAGTGTACCTACCCCAATGGAAGTGTGAACAATTTAATATGGATGAGAAATATCAGCGCGAAGACGAACGCCTGAATTCATTCGAAAATTGGCCACTCGAATGGTTGAATAAGAGGGAGTTAGCACAAATTGGCCTAGTCTATACGGGCGAAGATGATAAAGTCAAATGTTATTTTTGTGAAGTCGAGATCGGACGTTGGGAACGTGATGATCAACCGATCAATGAACATTTACGCTTCTCACCGAATTGCCCATTGCTGAGACGGCGCACCACTAACAACGTGCCAATTAGCAATGATACATTGAGTCGTGTGCTACCGCCCGTTAGTTATGATGTATGCGGCAATGAAGGACACGAATTCGAGGCAAACGATGTGTCTGCAGATATTGCACCAGCACCACAGGCTGCGCTGACAACAGCAGCATACCAATACGATAGTATAGCGGCCGACAATTTGTCCAATCATCATGCGAATGTGAATAGCAGCAGCAGTAGCAACAGTAGATGTGGCAATGAAGCGCAATTGTATCGACCCGAGTATCCTGAGTATGCTATCGAAGCGGCACGCTTACGTTCGTTTGCCGAATGGCCACGCAACATGAAGCAACGTCCAAAAGAATTAGCTGATGCCGGCTTCTTCTACACCGGCACAGGTGATCGCGTTAAATGTTTTAGCTGTGGCTGTGGTCTCAAGGATTGGGATGATGACGATGAACCATGGGAACAGCATGCGCTGTGGTTACCGAAATGTCGATATTTGAATTTACTGAAAGGACAAAGTTATATCGACAGCGTTGCGGCCAAATATAAAACGAATAACAGTAAATGTGCTGATGCAGTGCCAGCGGAAAGTGATCAATATTGTCCAACAACAGAAAACATCGTCATACAACCAGTGGTGGCGACAGCGACTTTGACGCCAACGACGTCCAAGATTGAGGAGGCGGCGACAGCTGCTGTGAAGACCACAGCGGCGGCGGCAACAATTGCCGAGGAGAAGCTATGCAAGATATGCTATGCCGATGAGTATAACACGGCGTTTTTACCCTGTGGCCATGTGGTGGCTTGCGCCAAGTGCGCGTCTTCGGTCTCGAAGTGTCCGGTCTGCCGGAAACCCTTTACAAATGTGATGCGCGTATTTTTTCCTTGATCATCTATATAAACTATTTATTAATGTGTAGACTCACCCGCGTTGTAAATAATATTAATATGCGGTAAATCGGCCAGTTGTGGCTTGCAGCAAAAAATAACTGTGTTCCTGCGACTGGCCGGTAAAGAAACAAATATTTATGTAATTAATTACTTATTCTTAAATATATGCATAAAATAAAAAATCAACATAACACATAAAAAATACCGCTGTTGTTTATTTGCTTGGGGCTTGGCGGTAATACTATATACATATACATAAGTATAGTATATATACATACATAAACATATGTATATATAGAGAATTTATTCTCTGGAATTTGAAGATCTTGTTGTTACAGAGCGTAAAGCGCATAAAATAATTCCATTAATTACTTTACATACATTTGTATGTATGTATATGAAATTTACGTGTAAATAGGTATGTACTTACCCGTACATATTAATTAAGGAAGGCATGCACGTACATATGTACTTTATTCAAGGTCTGCGGGATTATGTGTTTGCTGTAGAATATATTTGCATGAGTCATGGGTGTCTAAAAGTATTTACTAAATGCGCATATGTACATGGTACTTTAAAAATTGATGTTTCAATATCATCATATTTTTTAATACATATAAATTGTTTGTTTATCAACTTTGCCAAAATTTCTGCCTTCCAAAATTTGTTGACATTTTGCACTATGTTATATACAATACATTTGATATTATATATGTATGTACAATATATAACACATATTTTATATATTTAAATCACAAAATTAAACTTATTGCTTGACTGACGGAAATGAACTGAATTAAATATACAGATGAGTATTAAGTCCCTTAAAGTAGGGACAAAACAGAAAAACCTTTTTCCTTGTGAATTTTATATTTTTAAATAGAAATAAATAAAAAACAAGTAAGGATGCGCTAAGTTCGGGTGTAACCGAACATTTTATGGTAAACTCTCGCAACTTGCAAGGATCAAAGTCGGGGAGAATTCTTTTTGATTGGTTCTTGATTTGTATTCTGAAAAGTAAAGAAATTAGTTGGAATTTAAAATTGTGTTATATGGGAAGTAGGCGTGGTTTTAGTCTGATTTCGCACTGTAATGTATGAAGGTCGGGATAATATTACATACCGGATTCGGTACTTTAATAATCGGCGATTTATTTCGATCTGCAGGAGGACCTCCTAAAAAGTGTATGCTAGTGTGAAAGACTTTTCAGCCCAAAATTATTCCAAATTCACAAAAAAAAGAAGTAATAAAAAAAGATGATGATTTTTGTGGCAAAAATTACACTCTCGATTCAGATTCCTTCAATCATTACCTGACAAATGCCTATATCTGAGAAAGTCGAGAGCAAAAAGTACATACGCTCATATCTCCGAAATTATTTACCGGATCAACTTCCATGTTTTCGGAGAATATTTTCAAATATCTGTACATTCGATATATATGTATGTATGTATATAATTAGAGAATTAGAAATTCAAAAGTACTTATTTTTCAACGTTTAGGTTTTTTACTCTCTATTGAAGGCCATTTTTCTAGGCGTAACAACACTGATAACTCGCGAAGTTACTCCCCTACACAAGTCAACCGATAACAACATATAGTCAGCAAATATTTATAGTAAAAGAGTTGGCGGAAGATGTGACCCAACTACAGTGCCCTATGAATCACAAGTAGAGCCGGGAAAACCATTATAATCTTATTTCTACAAGCGCTAATCAGACATTTGACGCAGGGATTCCATTCCTTTTTATAATTGCGCTTCAATGTTTGTATTTATATTAATCTAAACGCGAATATACTTTCTCATGCATTCCCTTGCATATTGAGTATATTCTCGGTGGCTGGCACAACGCTTTACGGACCGCCCACACAAAAGAACTTTAATCCAATCAATTTGTTTAGCATACATATGTATGTATGTGTACATACATACACACATGTATTAGAGAGCACACTGTAGTATAAGTATGACGCAGTAATCTTTGGGCAAAGCACACAGTGAAATGAAGAGCAACGGCACGATGGGAGCTACTCAACTCAAACCAATCTTGGTTCTAAACTGATGATGCTGTGGCGAACTTGTAGTCAATATAAACATAAGTATATACATACATAGTACATATACCATATACATATGTTGTAGATGTGTATGTGCCTGTGTGTGTGGGTTTTCTTTGAAGAACGCGATGCGTCAGAAGCTTGTTTGGATGCTGGTAAGTCAGATAAAAATTGTCGCATAAATAAATAAATAATTGACTTGCTATTGCACACAACAACAGCAATAACAACAAAATTTGTTGTTCTGAAAATGCAATGCCTCTTGTTGTTGCCATATACGGAAATAGCTGAATGAAGGTTGTCAGCTTGAAATTAAATAATAATTACAGTTTGTGTGTGTGTGAAGCCGCAAAGGGGCGGCTCAACTGCACTGTGTGGGCCGAAAATAGTGTAGGTAGCTTCTAATGCTTAAATGTGAGTGCATTTGGCGGCAACAAAGTTAGCTTGTATGAATTATGGATGTTAAGCTAAAAATTGAATTTAATGAAATAAATATTCAAAAAAAAAGTTAATACGAAAAGTAATTAACTAAACGATAAATAAAATATAATAAAAACAAGAAAAAATATTAACTTCGGTTGCACCGAAGCTACAATAACCTTCACTAAGAAAGAATTTTCCATACAAGAATTCGTTTTAGATCGGTCAGTTTGTATGGCAGGTATATGCTATAGTGGTCCGATCTGAACAATTTGTATCGATTGCACCGGACAATAATGCTCCGGTAAATAATCAGTGTCAGAATTAGTGATAACTTGCCAAATAAAAAAATTTTCAATACAAGAACTTTATTTTGATCGTTCAGTTTGTATGGCAGCTATATGCTATAGTTGTCCGATATCGATGATTCCAACAAATGAGCAGCTTCTTGGAGAGAAAAGAGTGTCTGAAAAATTTTATATCTAGTTCTCAAAAACTGGGTGACTAGTTCGCATGTGTACGGACAGACGGACGGACTTGGTTAAATCGACTTAGCTCGTAACGCTGATCATTTATCTATATGATTTCTATCTTCTTCTTTACAAGCTTCATGGCTAACTTAATGTGCCCTCTTCGGAGTATAAAAATTAAAATTAAATACATTTTACAAAATGGTTAAGCTTTGAACCATTACATAAGAGATTGTCAACCAGATTACATCCGTATGCCTGGGGAATGGTTCAAAGCTTCCACAAATTCTTTTGATATTATTGCATTAGCATAAAACTTACCGTAATGAATTGGATACAAATACGGGTCCGTTCCAGACGTACGATTCTTCTGTATATTCTACAGTTGTTGAAACCGCTCTAAAAATTCTCCGGGACCGACTGTTATACTATAAGGATCTGGTAAGTTTTCATTAATTTTAAAATATTGTACATCATATAGTATTTATACATATATTTATTTCTATATTTTTCTTAGAAATCCTAAAATACATTTGCTACGACAGCGTTGTCTACCAAATTGCAAGTATTAAGCTGATATGTTGTTGGCCAAGACACACATGGCTAAAATGGTAAGACATAAAGCAAAAATAAATAATAAAAATCAAAACATTTATGTGATCTCACATTGATCATATTTTTCTTCGCTTCAAGTGTGCAAACATTTATGGCAAGCTCAACAGCCGATTACGGAATACGGCAACAACAATAATTATTGTGATGAATCACTGGCGAGAATTTGCGCTTTCGGCTTCACTGGCGTCTAAGTAAACAACGAGCGGCGTTAAAAATAAACGTTAAAGTTAATGCAAATTGCTTATTGTATAAGTTTGCTGAATACGTTTGCGCATACATATCTACACAGCGCATGCAATTTGCACAGCTAACAGTGTGAACGGACTGTGGAGAACAGAGTATTTAAAGTCACTTTTTGACTAAGGACAATGGACCCATAAAATATTAAAACCGTCAGTCGAATATAACTTGCAAGTACATAAAATTATTATATAATGTAATATACATAATACTTAAATATCCTCCAGGTCTTGAACCACACCACTTTTCTCCACTCCAACTGAACTTTAAATATATTTGAACCATTACATTACATTATTACAACGACAATAACATATTTTTTTTGAATGCAGATACGCCTTCCTCAATAGCTTGATAAGTTTCTTCGATATAATAGAACATCACCGCTTATACTAATAATATGGAACGGTTTCGGAGTGGTATCAACTACAGATATATGTATTATATATAAAAGCAATAATTTCCAGGAGACACGAATTTCTGTAAATGGAATCGAGTCGGATTTATATTAATCTAAAAGCGGTTATGTGTATATTATATACCTAATTTGTCGAGTGCGTGACTCGGTGGGTCTTGAGCATAAACACAGGCAAAGTGAAAAATATAAATTTAGAAAAATTAACACTCTTCGACAGAATTGTCAATAAAATTTTTCTCCTTTGTTTTAAAAAATACTGAAATACTTGTAAAAAGAGTACTGATGTTTATTACGCCACAATATTTATTATATAAGATTTATTTATTGTGAAAGATACGTTTAATATAATGTATAAAAAAAGTATGTATTTTTAGGTTATAATTGCTGAAAAAACCAAAAAAATAGTAAAAATACTAAAATGCACATCTAGTGTGAACACCTTAAAATTTCTTTAAAGAAAACTACTCGACGATATTTTTTTAAAACATGAGGATAATAGTCATAATTAATGAAAATACACAAGAAATATAAAAAATCACAAGTGACGGAAAAAAGTTCTCAATTGCTGCAGTGATTGTCAAAATATTATTAAACTGGCAACACCTTAGCCTATACAACGGCGATTGTTAAAAAAATTGAACTCAAACAAACTGGTAGTCTTTAAAAAAACAAATTTTGCTCCAGAACGAGAGAAACTACATTTTTCATACATCAAAAAACTGTAAAATCATTGTACAGAGAGGCAGAATAAAAATCAAAACTGTTGGGTTTTCGAGTTTCAATTGCCGCCAATTTGAAAAATGTAGTTTTGATAAAACGCGTTTAAGATAAGTACTATCAAAATTTGTTGCATATTAAACAAAACAAAAAAAAAATACTTTTTCAAAATTTCCCACTAAATACTGTTTTTATAAATTGAATATTTTTATGTTATTTTACTAAATTCGAAACAAAGTAACATATTGAATGTACTATTTCTACGGATAGAAAGTTATTTACTCCGAAAAACTCGTGCTTGATCGATCTATATATTGTTTATTACACTGTCCTCAGACAAAAAATTAAATCAATCAAAAAATATATAATATTTTTAAACAAGAATTTGTTAACAAGACTAGTTATGAATTTATCTATGTATTTACAAAAAAAAGTTTTAATACGAAAAATTAAAATGTAAAAAAATTAAATTGTAAGAAATAAATTATTTGTCACAAAAATAATAATGCATCAAAAATATTTAAAAAAAAAATCCACTTTTAGATCGAGTTTCACTACATTTGTTTAAAAATTATTTACTTAAAATAAGCATTTAAAAACCAAAACTGTTTACTGAATATTTTTTAGGAACCTTATTTTGGATCTTTTTAATTTTAGTGCTATCAAATATAAAGTAAAGAAACTCAAATTTTGTACCATTACTCTTGTAATATCTTTGTTATGTAAGCAACTTATTTAAAAGAACACTGTTTATCAATATTATAATATATATAGACATTTAACCAGAATGAGAATAATGTGAAAGGCGAAATTAATTTTAAATTAGTTGTAAAAAGTGAAAAAAAACATGTAAAAGCACTTTTTATACCGAGAACAGTGTATATTAAGTTTGCCAAATCAAGATAAAAGTCTTTTTATACGCATTTATATTATAAGAAATTCACCTGTGAAGGGTATTATAGTTACGGTGCTGTAGAAATACTTAGAATTATGACATACATATGTGTTTGCTATTTAAAGCATATAAATCAAAAAAGAACTTATTGCTTGAAATATTAAGTACAACATCAAAATGCATCTATCATTTAATAATTAATAATAATACAATTATAATTTAATATCCCGATTAACAAAAAAACAAGCCACCACTCCACAAATTATTGTTTAATATTTTTTGTTTTTGCTAACAAAGATCCATACATATCAATTAAAAATTGCATATACAAAAAGTACTGTGTCCATCACTTAAATACATGAATTCTGACAGCCCGACAAAGTGCAGAAACGATTCTCATTGCCACCGCAGCCGGTATATTTAAGGCGTTCGCATTTTTGTGCCCGCTCATTGAAGTACCACATTTGTTTGGGTCGACAGCTACGACCTTTGGTACCCACATTCATCGGCTTCAGACATAGTTGAGTTGTTGAATAAGAAATAAATGCACATTTAATTAACAAATATTGATTTTATCCATATAAATTTAAAGTGGTCAAGCATTTACGTGGTTTTCCAGGGCAAGATGAATCTTGTGCGGCTGCTAATGTGGTTAGCAGCAATAAAACGACTGTGGTTATATAAATAAATCGCATGATTACTGTACTCAAGCGAATAACACTGTTGTAAATGCAATTGCATTTCTTGTGGCTTCGCCTTTATATGGCCGATTTTTAATAAGAAATGTATATGTACTTAATTTTGAAAAAAAATATTGTAAATATTACTTGCAACTATATGTATGTTTGTTTGTGTGTGCCTTAGCTGGTTTGCACAACCTGATTTATTTTTAGTTGTTTATTCTTATTTTGTTTTAAATGAAAATAATATGCTATTGATAGCTGTAAATTGACTGAGAAATTTTAAATACAACTACACACCTCTTTGTATAGATTTCTACTTATGCAAATGTATGTAAATATGAGCTTATGTATATATGTAGATATATTAAATGAAGCCTGTTATATACATTTAGATATATGTGTTCTAAAACTTACACTAGCTGCTATTGAATTAATTAAGTTAGCGGTAATTAATCATAAACATCATAAACTTGACATATATGCATACTTATACCCTGCACACTTTGCCATGAAGTTTGTAACATCCAGCACGAAACGTTGAAGACCCTCTAAAGTATATGCATATAAAAATGTTATATACACGAACTAGTCCTAGTTTTTGAGAAATCGCTCTAAAAATTTGCATCCTTTTCTCCTCAAAAAGCTGCACACTTATCGGAAGCGTCGATATTGCACCACTGTAGGCTTTAGCCGCTATATAAACTGATCTATCAAAATCAAGTCCTTTTATGGAAACCTTATTTATTTGACAATATATTTTCATGAAATTTTGCATGGATTATTTTCCAAGGCAACGCTATAATTTCCGAACATATTGTTCATATCGGAGCACTATACGATATTGCTGCCATAGAATCTGCTCCATCAAAAAACAAAAACCTAATAAAGATCATTTCATACCCTTTTATGATATAAGAAATGCAACTGTGAAGGGCATCATAGTTTCGGTACTGGCGAAGCTAACGTTTTTCTTGCTTTTTGTAATGATGATTGGATGAGCCACCAATTCTAAGGAAGTTATGCAAATGCTTGTATTAATATGCATATATTTTAATAAATAACCAAGTTATATAGAAATAATATTTTATTGATGTTATAGCGAATACATTGTCCAAAGGATAAATATGCATCTACAGAATTCTTATGGCGAAATTGTAAACGTTGTCAAAATAGTAACTATGGCGCATTTCCTTAGAACTATTTAACTGCTCGAAACCAAAATAATATTTATAAAGCCAATGAATAAAGCTTTTGTCAGAACTTTCTTTGATATATTATATATCAGGTATATCACTAAAACTACGAGTGCTTTAAAACGAAAAGGTCCATTACTGCAGTGTCCTCCGGCCTTCTCCATGGATGAAATCAAGAAAGAAAAAAGTTCTCACTAGAAGATATTGTCTATACAATGACCTACGGACACATAAAAAAAACAAAAAACGGACGGCGTTTAAAAGAAAATTGAAATTCACCCAAAATTTTGCCGCGCCGCCTGCTAAAATTCAACATTTGATCAGATCATAAACTGGTAGGTAATGATAAGTTAAACTTTCAAGCCGATTAAAGTAAAAGTATACCATACTAACTTCTGGGATTAAAAATTTATAAATGCTTAAGATGTAAGTCTTCACACAAGGGCACAACAGACCATAGGTCGCCGTGCCTACCTCTTCTAAAAGTCTTCATACCCTAAGCACTTTTTAGAAAGATATAATAACTTTGTAGAAAAACTTCAATGCCTGTCAAGTGAAACTGATTAACTACTTCTACTAAATAAGTTATAACAAAGGAAACCCTCAACCCAGTAAAGTAGGGTTCAATGAACTTTTAATATGCTTTATTCTTAATGAGTTTATAACTATGTTAATACATTATAGATTATAACCTAAATTCGATATATTTGATTGCTCAAAGCCCGACTAGACTTAATAATTTTGCATGCTATGTGGTTTCGGTTGACAACTCTGTTTTACGAATTGATATTTTACTTTAATTACTAAGAATCTCAAAGTTAACAAAATTCTTATTAGCCATATTGAAGGCTTTATGCATATTCGCATAAATGGCCACATCGATAATATTTGTATTACTGAAATAATCAAGTGCGACAACATTAGCGGTTAAGCTCCAAGGACCTTTGAGCCAACTCGTAACTTTGGGGTTCAAAATCGCGGCACGTTCCTTGGCTGTCTCTAATTTATTATTATTCTACAAGAAAATTGAGAGAAAGATATTAGAAACGATAAAGGAAAATGAAAGGTTTTACAAGCTACCAACCAAAGACTGTTCCATGCTCCGTATGGCCTGAAATATCCAACCTTCATTTTGTACCGGTGAATTATGCTTTTTGCTAAACAACAAACGCATGTTGTCCAATGCCTCGGATGTATTCATAAAAGCGGTGGAGAAACGTTTCCAATTGGGGCACAATATTTTCGATTCTATACATTTTAGCAACAAAACAGTGTTATAGGTTAGAAAAACTAACTCTAGATTATGTTAATAGAGCCTACCACTTTCCGGATATGGTAATTCTTGCACTGGATATAAAATGATTAGAAATTTATTATTGTTCTTTATTTCGTCGATAGTGAGCTCATAACATGGCTTAGCTTCCTCATGTGTACTCGTGTTTCGGGTGTAGACAATATCGCCCACTTCTTCGTGCAAAAGATGGAGGAGACTGCTATGACGCTCGGGATGTTTGTAAAATCCTGTGATAAAGAAAATTTGAAAATTGAAAATCCTTCTAAATTAGAACTTTAGTAAGTGAGGTTATATTTTTCGCATTGTTCTGATATTTTTATTCATAGTAATTTTAACTCTTTTCTGCTATCTTCTTATATTTTCAAGCTTAAGTGGAGGACAGATTATAACTCAAAACCAATACAGTGTTGTTACTCTAGCAAACTCGCGGTTTCCGGCAAAAATCTTCAGGAATGGTTTCAGAACTCATTATCATTCCGCAGAATATAAAAATAAAAACTGAATATAATTTTGTGGTTTCGATGCTTAGTCAGCTTTTATTTTCATCTGTCGGCTGGCGAAACCACCACACCAGATACAAATAAATTATAAAAGAAAGCTCATATTCTGAACTTACCAATCGGAAACGAACTGAAGTCCAATATAACGACTTCGTGGGAGAGTTGCACAAAACGCTTAACATCTTTCAAAACACTCTTCAATGGGCGAACAAGCTTGTTCTCATTGACAATGCAGAAGTTATCAGCATTATTTGAATCGTAGACATCTGAAATTTTATCAAAGCTGGAAAGAGCATGATATGTATACATAAAATCTAACAACGATTGCTACTTGCAGCATACCCAATGCTAAAGTCTAAATATCGTATGCCAAAGACCAATTGGGACCAAACATCAAAGTGCTGAGCTACCACATAGTCTTTAACCAACACCGATTTAGTTTTGGTCAAATTAGCGACATAGGCTGCCGAAGCGTGAGTACCTAAAACAAAGTCCAATAATTTAACCATACAATTTCCTTCAAATCACAAAGCTTACCCGGTATGAAGATATCTTTCAAAGGCATTTGTGCTATATGTTCCAACTTGGACATCCAATTCGGTTGTATTTTTAAGCATTCCACCGTCAACAGTTCGCTACCATTAAAACTGGCTACATAATAAGGCAGACACTTACCCTTCGGATATTCGCTGGGCACCGCATTCACATCATTACTATTCCAACCGGACGGAAAGCGTAATTTACCGATTTTCACATCACTCAAAACCTTACCGGACGAGTTTGTTATATCGGTTATACGTGCCTCGGGTTGTACGTATGTGGTCGAGGGATCTTCGCTGAAAATACCTATCCATTCGGGGTGATCATGACATTCGGGACCCCAATTTACTTCGATATTAGCATCTTGCAACGTTTTGGCATCGAGGGAAATCGTCAAGTAGATGGGGCAAGCTTGGAGAACATATTTTATATGATAAATTTGTATATATTTTTTTCCTGCAGCTTACCTTGCAGTAGTAACGGCAAATTGTAGCAGATGAATAACGAAAAGCTTAAATGCATCGCGTTTGTTACGTTCGAAATGCTAAACTTGAACTTAATCTCAAATTGTTCTTAATGTCGCTCAATACGGTCATTTAAAGTAAGTAAGTGTCGCTGTGGAAATGTACCGAATTAAGATACATGTATAAGTTGTAATATACAGGCTGGTTATGTCGTTATTTTCTTGAATTTAGATTTAAGCCATATTGTAGAATTATATTTTAATTTATATGAACCATTAGTGAATACCGTTTATTTTTTGAAGTATGTTCTCAATTTTTTAAATAATTTTGTGTACTTTGGCAACCGTATTATTGAAATTATTGCAACCTAATTTATTGTTGGCAGCCTTATACTATATATAATATAATAATTGGCGCAACTATTTATTTAGTAAATATATGTATTTGAAACATCCTAAACATTTCTCTTTCAAATATATTACAACGCTTTTTGAATTCTCTAGAATTTCTTCAAAGGTTTGTTCAAAAAGTTGTCGGAAACATTTCTTTAATAATTTTTTTCAGACAGTTACTTCCGATTATTCCTTTACCTGAGAGTTACTTATTGTTTCTGAAATAGTAGACAACGATTGATCAAAAAGATCCATTCAAAGAAGCTTATTCAAAACAAGTAAGGAAACCTGAGAGTTCCTGAGATATAGAATTTCCTTTAAAAGTACGCGGCGCCACGCCTCTTGTCAAATTTTTACATCCTAACCTATAAAGCCGTTTCCTACCATCTTGGCTGTTGCATTTATTTAGTGAAATATCGCACTTTTAGTAGTTTTCAACATAACCATTATATTGGAAGTGGGCGTGGTTATTGTCTAACTTTACCTATTTTCACAATGTATGAAGAAGTGCTAAAAAGACTTCTTCTCAGCAAGTCTAATTGAGTTAGCTTAAACGATAACAGCTTCACAGGAAAATATACATAGTATGTATATATATACGAATTATACATTTTTGACTGCAATAGTATTATTAAGTCAATTGGGATTTGGAAACTTAAAAATTTTTTAAGATAACTTTATCAATTAACAACACCAAAAACATACAGGTTGGACTTATTAGCAAACTTTTAATTTTATTGAATTATATAGCAATATATTTACACACACATACTCACATATAATTATATTAGATTTTGTACTAAAAAAGATTCTCAGACAGTTTTGTTTTCGCTTGACTCAATATTGTTTGAACACGCTTCAAAGATGGACACTAGCAAAGAGCAAATACGCCATATTTTATATTTGAAGCCATTCTCTTAATTCGGATTTGTATTGTTAATAATTGTACGGTCGCCAAAAAGTGGTCAGATTTGGCTAACAGGAGAGGAATTGTGTATTAACTGGAGAGCGCCAGACCACACCTCGATAATGACTCGTCCAAAGCTCCAGGAAGTAGGTTGAGATGTTTTTATGCCTCACCTTATAGATCTCTGATAATATCGAATGATTTTGCTGGTTAACAATTCCGCTGAAATAAAATTTTTGAAAATCGACTGTCTCAATTTCTTCCGAATAGGGAGGAGTGTTACTATTTACCATGGGAGTGGCATTATGAAATTGTCTACAAAATGCCAACAAGTTATTAGACAAAACAGTGCATATAACACCTAATTCTAACTTTGCTAATACAATTGTATAGAAGTTATATTGACAACACCGAAAGTACCAAAAAACTGTTGCCATCCATTTTTAGTACTCATAATGAATTAATTTTAGTCTCATTTCCATCACTTTTGGAGCACTTTACCGTTATTTTAATATTTTAATAATTTTCTTACTCTATCAAATCATTTGGCAAGCACCCTGTTTTATCAATTAAGGATGAGCATGACATTTGATATTATTAAATATAAGCAGAAAATTTTGCTCGTCATTTATTTAATGTCTGACGCAATAACAAAAACGTCAGTAATGTCATTTAAACTCATTTATCAATTCAGCGCCAACTGATAGTGATTTGTGTCGCATGAAACAACGCTGTGATAACTGTAAACAATAAAATTATGAAATTAACTATTTAAAGATTTCATGAAGTGTTATGAAGTCAGTGCAAATAAAGTGAAAATAAAAATATTTTGGCAAAAAGTGTTGAAATTGTGGGGGAGAGTGCGGAGAGTCTTCTCAAATGAGCTAGACACAGTGGCTACTTAAAAATTGTACTTATTCCTAGAGTTCGGTTACTATTTTATTCGAAGAATATTAAAAAAATATTTATTAATTTTTTGTTATTATTTAATTTATCATTTATTTTTCCTTTAAATATAAGTTTATATTTTTAATTTCACTCATTTCAAAGCATATTAAATCCTTTTTGCACTCTGACACAACAATTCATCATAACATTTGTCTTAAATATATTAAAATAATTAAGTATTTCTATTTCTATTGTGTTAAATAAAAAAATATTAAGTTATCTAAATAAGTAAAATTAAAATAAAATATTTACAAATTATTATTTTTTAATTACAATTAAATAATAATTTAAAAATTTATATATTTACATATACATATATTCGAGTTTTTGTAATGTGACTTATAATAAATATAAATTTAATTTTAAAACAAATAAATAAATGCAAAAAACTATACAAAACTTATTGTGATTATAAGTTAATTAAGCCGAAGGAATGCAATATTTTTTTGTTTCTGTGTGTGTGTTTGTTTTAATGAGCTTCATTGTAATAATTTAAAGAGATTTACAGGTACAAATTAAATATGCTAGCGTAAATAATATTTTAACTATTTGTTTTAATAAATATTCATGGATGGTTGAAGTAAAATGGCCTGGTTTTGTATTATAAAATTTTTACTTAGTGCGGAAATATATATATATTTTTTTAATTTCGGATCAATAATATTGATGAAAATTACAATTAAGTATTTATATTACAAATATTGTAATTTGTTTAATTATTTATAAAATTAAATAGCATTTTAATTATTTAATTAATTAGTTTTTTAAGTTCTATTGAGGTAGATTTATGATCGTGCTTCAGTTGCAAACAAATATTGATTTCATATGCTGCTACATAATTAAGTACATTTGCTACATAATGAATGTGTAATCATAACTGTGTTGGTAATTGCTTTTTTTATGTTTATATTTTTTGAAATTACTAATAATTATAATTTTTTATTTTTTTTGTTCGTTTGCATAACTTTTAATTTATTTTATTTTAATTTTTTATGCATAAAATTATTTAGTTTAATTGTTAACAATAATAATTTAATTAAGTAACAGTCTCATTGTTGCATTTTGTGTTTACATTCGTGTATATAAATGTTTTTATTTTTTTATGATTTTGAGTATAATGTGACATTTCGAGTTATTTTTGTTATAAATGCGATTTTAACGGGTGCGTTCGAGTAGCGTTATTTAACTAATGAATGTTTAATTATATGATCACCACTGTAGCGAAGTGTTTTTGGGCAAATTTTGGAGAGATTCGAATTGTTTTAATCAGTTTTTTACATTTTACGTATCATTTTCATTTATAAATCAAAAATTATTTAAAAAATTTTTACTAAAAACTTTTCTGGAAAAATCATATTGTATTAGTGTAATCGCTTAAAAACGCTCTCGCTCTCGAACTCACTTTTTGCTTCTTGCGAATATCATTGTTTTTCATTTTGGCTTAAAACTTATGCATATAACTGAAATTAAACTAAAGTGGCTTACAACAAAAACAATAAATTAGTTTTTCCTAACAACTGGGCTTAATATTTGTCTTTAAGTAATTACCAAAAATACTATAAAACACAGCTTACAGTTGGCCGCAGTAAATGATTTTCAAGTACAACCATCCATCCATAGTACATCCATTTCATTTCAACAATGCGCCCAAACTGTTCTGCTGCATACACCGCTACATACACCCACAACACTTACAATATTAATTTGAACTTTGAACTATTTACGACTTAAGCAACTAATATTTACATTTATGAACACCCAAGCACACATATGCATCCACACAACCACTTGCATTTACACCGACGATCAGCTCGCCTGTTGCGTCAGCAGATTAATCAGCTCGGTGCGATCCATATTGCTGAGGGTCTGCATGTCAATACCCAACGCCGCGGCAACAGCTTCAATATCCAGACCGAAAGAGGTAAGCAGCTCGAGGAAGCGCATCTCTTCGCCGGTCAATGGATTCGTGACCATCGGGCAGGAGTGATTGCATTGTGGCCAACTGCAACGTTCGAGCAGGCGTAGAGCGCATTTTTCGGGTACACGCGGTACACGATTGCGACGCATGTTTTTCTTTTGCAAAGCGAATTGTGTTGTCGCCTCGACGGCTTGTTCGTTGTGTTGTAAATCATGTGGTTGTACGAATTTGCCGGTGTTATGTAACCTGAGTTGTTGTTGACGTTGTTCTTTACGTTCCTTACGTGACTTCTGGCCCGGTCGGTGTTTACGCTCACCACCATTGGTTTTCGGTTTGTTGTGGTTACGTTGTTTTTTGTTGGGATGTTGATCATGTAATGCTGTGGCGTTATCGTTCGGTGGCAAGTTGTTGTTACGCTTGCGTTCGGCTTCGTTACGTCGACGCTCGTGACGATTGCGATGTTTGTTTTTGTTGCGTTGTTGTAACTTACGTTGACGCCTCTGTTGACGTTCATGTCGTAGTCGTCGTCGTTCTTCACGCTCAGCTTTACTTAAGCGTTGACGTGTACCATGTTGTGGCTCGAAGTTGTTGTCTTTCTTCTCTTTGTGTTGTTTGGTTATACGGTTTTTGTGCAAGATTCTTTGATTTTCGTTGTTTGAGCGATGACGCTTTTGTTCCGTGTGCTCTAAGTGAGTTTGTTTACCGATGTTGTGTCGACGGCGGCGTGGACGTGTCGAATGCTCCCAGCAACGTAGTGCAGATGGTAAAGAGATATCATCAATTTTGATATTGATCCAATCGCGTTTGGAGAGCACAGCATGCCCGATACAAGAGGGCGCGAATACGCCAGTTACGTTATCTAAGGACGAACGCAGCGCTCCGCCCATCTCATGTATGTAGTTCCACTGTTGGGGTGTAACTGGTGCGCCTACATTGTCCGCGCGCATTTGTGCTTCATCGAACAGCCATTGAAAGACGAAGAGCGGTGCTGTGTGTTGAGAGAAATATTCATTAATGATATGCGATATTAGCAAAAAAATGAGTTTTCTTTTACCTTTGAGCGTCGGATATAGTCGGTAACCGAAGTAACAACGCCACGGTTCTGCTTGATATTGTTCAACGCAAGCTTCTGGAAGTGATCCTTGCCAGAGCTTCCAACCTTGACGCACCGCCTCACTGGAGCCTACTGTAGCTGGGGTGTAGGGTTCACGATCGAGAAACCAACCTGAGTCGCTCACACCACGCACTGTCACCATCAGTTTACGTTCTTGCTGCAAATAATTGGTTATGCGATCTAAATTTAGCATAACACCAAGACCGCCTGCCGACGAACCGACAAGCAACAATTCCGCACCAGGTATTCGTCCTAAACCGAGTGGTATTAGTTCGGCAATAACATTACGTAAGATAACAGCACCCATAAAGCGAAATTTAGCGTTCTCGTCGATTGTGTCGCGCGTACCCGACCACGAATCGCTGCTGCAGTAGGGCACGAGCACATGGTTTGCATTGTGCCAATAGGGGTTCTCTTCCGGTAACGGTGAGAGTATGCCACCAACTATAAAACAATCGTAAAAATTATTTAAGTTTTCATTGAGATCACGAAAATGATAGAATATAGGGAGCTCCTATTGAAAGATGAGTGACGTCACATTAGCTATGTTTTCAGCGAGCGCCGAGAATAATGGAACTGTGAATTTTTAATTGTATATGCTCACCATCACGTTTTTCAGGCCATTGTGTCGACGTCATCAAGTGGCGCAGCCGCAACCAACGCGCACGACATGAGCGCGCATCATAACAATGCCAACCGCCCTCCAGGAACACAATCCATTTCTTCGAATTGGGATTTTTACGCAAATAGAAACCAGCGCGCGAGCCATCATTACATACGACTGAGATATTATTGAACTGGACGAGCTTTAGCGCGCGTCGGTTTTCCACCACAGCCAGGGCAGGCTTAGTTGTGGCGCCCAAATCCAGCGAATTTCTCTCGTGTGCCGACATCATAATATTCGAAGAGTTTAAAAAAGTACCGGATGAGGCAGCGTTGCCAACCAACGAATCGGCAATGGGCGCCGTTGCCGTTAATGCGGTTTTTGCCGCTCGATTTGCGTTTGTGGAGCGCGCGTATGTCGGCTGTATTACCGCCAAGCAAAATAATGCGATGAACACGCTGTGTAGAACTAATGTTATGCGCTGGGCGTTGTGCGCCGTTAAGTAGGCAATGCTACGTTGTGGACACAAGCTCTTGTGGATCGTTGTGGAACATAAATGATCACTTTGTTGGCGCTGACTGCAATTGACTTTAGTTGAGTAGCAGCTTGAGGTGTTCTGCTGTAAGAGGAGCAAAAAAGAAAAAGATTAAACTTTTATAAAAACAATGTGAGAAATCGAGAGAGCGCGTGAGAGGGAGAGAGAGATAGTTTATTTGAAAAAAGAGAGCGTTATAGCACAGACGTGAGCACGTGCTGTTATGATAAACACTAGAATATTTACGCAAGAGCACACTTTCAAAAGTCAAACGCGAAAACAATTTATAATGAATGAAATTGTTTTCCAAGCCGGCTGACTGTTAACAGCGTATATATGTATGTATAAAAATATGTTAGGCGCTAGTTTATAATTGTTATTTATTTTTATATTGTCATGTCGCATGGCACTTCCGCAACGAGGGTAGTAGCGATAGATTGTATATATATATCATACATATGTATGTATATATATGGTGTATATATATATATTTATATTTAGACACATAGAAACATATTCGTATTACCCTGTAAGATTTTACAAAATAAATACTATTGATACTTTTGGTTTGATCAAATTTGACTCGGACTGGTCCATTAATATTTTTACCTAGTGTATGTTTGGAAGAATTTTTTTACGACACGAAAAGCTTGCCGAGCGTTTTTAGTAATGAAAATAGAATGTGAGTAAGTTTGCGGAATTGTTGAAAATGTTGCAGATGTCTTTTTGTGGGGTTTACTTTATCACGAACAAAAGTATTTAAATGGCACAAAGCATTCAGTGGAGGTCGTGAGGTCAAGGAAAACATAACCCATGTGAGTCCTCTGTTAATGTGCTTGAATAATGTCGTATTGGCATAAGAGATATAGCAGACGATCTCAAAATCTATTATGGATCGAGTCAACGCATTTTGGTTAATGTTTTGGGTATGAAGCGTGTCATTGCTCGACTCGTACCAAAAGTTTAGCATTTAGCAAAAGAGAGGCTTGACAACGAAGGAGAGGACCCTACATTCAACAAATGCATCATTACTGGTTATGAGCCCAACAATAAACCGAAGTTACCTGCAGACAATGAAGGCCATCCGAGCGAGATTTATAATAAATGTAGGGAAAATGGGATTAAGCGTTGGCATACTTGACTCAGAAGCCTATTTTGAAGACGATAATAATTTGTAGATCGTTTTTTTAAGTCCGGGTCATATTTGATCAGATGACATATACATACACACCCATACATAAATATGTTGGAACATTGTTTCCATCTTCATCTTCTTCGTTTTATTAGGTAATACTTGTATTGTCTGCAAGTTGTCGCTGTTGTTTTTATGTTGTTGTTATTGTTATTGTTTTTTCAACTCACTGCTATTGCTTTCATATCATTGTTTCTTGTACGATGTTTTTTCCTCCTCGCTTTGGCGGAAAAACTTGCTTTGATCAAAAATGCGAGCAAGAAGCTCTGCGATAAGATCAAAGAGGTTTACCGCCTCCTTAAAGAGATACTCGCACAAAGCCAACAACAACAGCAAGTAGAAGAGCCGCAGCAGCAGCAGCAGCGGTAACAACATATACAAACACGCATATACATATGTACATAAAAACTTAGCTACAAAAGCAATTACAACAAACAATAAACGAATTGTAATGAAAATAAAAACAATAGCTACGAAGTTGTTGTTGCTGCTGTTTTTATTATAATAACGCTCTGTTGTTGTAAATGTTGTTGCCGCTTTATTGCAGCACGCCGGTCAACAGCAATATGCCGAAGTGGCCAACAACAATCGCATTTTTCGAAAGCAGCATCGGCAACAACAACAATTATAGCAACAACAGCGACTGCTACAATAACTGTAACTCATTGAGGTGCAATTCATTGCGAATAACCGTCAATATTTTTGTAGCCATTCGAGTGGAAAGCAATTTTTCGCTGTCATTTATTGAATGACAGAGAATTGTCGATGGACGCGGGGTCAGTGGGTTGGTTGAGAAGCGGCGTCTGCTACAGCCAACTCTTTTAAAACTTTTTGTGCTGTTTTTCGGTTTTCTGCTTTGCCTCTTTGTGTGTGTGTGTGTGTGCAATTTGTTTGTTTGTTTCCTGCCAGCGCCGCGTTCGGTAGAGCAACAGCAATTTTTATAGCTGTAAAATAGGTGACAGCAGGTGATTCCTGACCCAATTGTTGGTGGTAAAAGGAAGTCTCACATTAAAGTCCATAAATAGTGCGGTAAAACTTTGCATTCCTTTGAAGTAATAAGAGGTTGAAAGTGCTTTTGCGAGAATTGTCGAAACACAGAGTGGATCACTCAAAGCCGTTGTGGTTTTTGAAAAATATATAGGATTCATATGAAATTCGGTTTTATTGAAACCTAAAGAAAGCGTTATTAAAGAGTTTTTAAAAATTCAAATATTTTTGTATTCAGAAGCGCTTTTAACTCTTTCTAAATTAAGTACTTTATCAGATACTTATTAGCTCTATTACATACATATCTTCGGTCTATTAATATTTTACTTGTATACTTGTATATAAATATTTTTGCCGAAAAAATATGAAAAAAATTATGAGTTTTTTACATTAAAGTGTTGGACATTTAATCTGCTTGTTCTATATTACAATCCAGCGCTATCTAGCGAATTTAAACTTTATAGAGTCATCATAAAGCTTTTTCTAAGATTTTGGCGAAGTCGGTTTTGCAGCTTTGGAGTCTATACAATACAATAAATTTGATAGAGTATATAAACTTACTTTAGATTTTTTAGAAAATTTTATGCTTTACAAGAATACGCAATGTAAAAATTTTATTCCTAAATTGTTTAAAAATTATGGTATTTTTAATGAAAACAGATTACTCTGCGTGTGGGACCTGTGAGTGCTCACCGACACCCTTTCATATTAAGCTAAAAAGTTTTCCTTGCAGGGATATTTTTTTTTCTCTGTATGTTAGTTTTTTGACACCCTAATATATACATATGCACATATCTATATTTGCTCGAGTACTTAATAAATAATTTCGTGGGTCATCAAAACAATTTGCGTAAAACAAAGTTCACAAAAAAAAAACGCTATCAACGTCATCACACGTACCATATCAAGTACGTTGCTCCAAAAAACATAAACAACCACAGCAAAAAAATAAACAGCAATACTAACAAATACCGTAGTCTTTTGTCTGTAATAAAAATAAACCAAGTTCAAGTGGCGGCATAAACGCTTTGATTTCATTTCCAACGCGTTCCTCGACGTTTGACTCAGACCAAAAAATAAAAAAAATACGCACAGTGTGTTTGTATGTATTGATTGTTTGTTTTGCTGCAGTAATTGTATTTGTGGTGCCGCAAAGCGCTTGCTAAGATTTTTCTTTGAGATTATTGGGTTTGGACTGTAACTATGCGGTGCAAATAAATAAGGGTGGGTTAGTTTAATTTTTAATGTCAGAGAGGGCAGGAGAGTATGGGGAAGTTGAACAAGAAAATCGGTAGGACACTTGGCTATTTTTATAATTTTATTGTGCGCCGAAATGTAGGCAATATGTTGAGCAGTCTAAAAATACAGATGTTTATGGAATTTTTTCTTCAAATAAAATATAAGAGATATATATAAAAATATATAATATCGAATCAGTCAAATAAGTATTTATTTATAATTTTTCTGCAAATAATTGTTTACATATAACTAATTGTACCAGTCAATATGTATTTGGTATGTATACATATTGAAACTAATTGATCTTTGCGGCAAACCATTTCAAAACCGCCAGAAAGAAAAACAGAAACAAAATCCAAGAACAAGCTCTCCACATTGTATATTTGCGATGAGTGCTTAACAAGTTAAACTGAATTATTGCTGCGTCGCCGCAATAAAAGTGCGAGCGCGAAACAACAAAGAGCCGAAATTGAAATCGAAATCGACTGAAACTGAAAAATTGCTACAAAAGTACCAATGTTTTTTTCTGCGTCAACCAACTTGAGTGACCCAGACAACAAAAGAGTCATTAACAACAACGATAACAGCAGCGGCGGCGGCGGCGACGGCCGCAGCACGCAGGTGTATGCGCGTGCGTGCGCATGAAGAAAAACGATAATACGATAACCAGAATTGGGCGCGCGCACACACGCAAAAATAAAATAAATAACAACGGATTGTGACCCGATCGCTTTGTCGGCATGGTAATTTGTAACCAATTGAGGTCATATATACGGCGCGGCTGCGTGTCATGTCAACGAACTGCCCGCCATCGATCGATAACCAGCTGTGCTGCCATGCTGCGCTACAAGTAAATCGCGCGCGTTATGTGCAAACGTGCGTCAATCGCACGAGGAATTGGGTGCGCAACCAATAAAATCTGTGCGCGAGCGCTGCGATGTGTTCTCATCGCAAATATCCACTTACAGCAAAGGTAGGTGACCAAAATTGAATAATAAAAAAAAAGAGTTAAAAAAAAACACTGAACACTGTTTGGCATATCAATCAACGCGCGTGTTTGACGTGCGCTACAAATTACAAGCAACAAGTGCTGCCGCAGGTAACGCAAAAAACGAATACTTGTGCATATTTGAGTTACTGCCGCGCAGGCGCAATTGACACTGACACATCAGGGCGCATTAAAAGCTTACCGGTAGTTGGCAGCATCCAGCAGTCATCTGTCAGTCAATCAGTCAGCCAAACTGTCAGCTACTGGCAAAATGTATGATCCGCTCACAGCGCGTAGCAGCAGCGCCGCACCAATAACTGTCATTGGTTGCCGCCGCAATTCAATTCCAAGTATTCCTGCCGCGTTGGTTGGCCGTTTTGTTATAAACACCGCCGCGTCGCGTTGCGCTGTGGCATGCGTTTCACACGCGCATCCCATTTTTGCTTCGTTGTCATCGCAATTCGCGGAAGCAGCTGACAATAGTGGACAGCAGCATCAACTGTGGTGTGGCAGCGTACGTGACAGATCGCCGTCAGTGTTGCGTTGTGGCGCACTGACGCTCCATAGAATAAAAAGTAGTCTGCCTGTATTTTCACGCTGTTATCAAAAGCGCTGGCAAGTGGTTGACTGATCATGCTGCGGCATGAAATACCCTCGTTCACGTTATGCGCTACCTTTCGTCTTCCCCAGCTCTTTGCTCTGTTGCGCTGCGCATGCCTTTGATCATAGCGATCATCAATAAATTACCGGATTCCTCAAAGTGTTTTGCCGACATGACAGTGGAGTTGCCTTGCTGCCAGGTAACTAACGTGTGTGTACATATGGAATACCACCGAAATGAGCGGTTAGCCAACCAGTTAACCAGGCTTCGCATACATATATACATACGTATACACATAAACATGTTCGTTTGCATCCAGACGCGCTGTGCGTTGGTCGAGTTTGCGCCGCCGCGTTGCTGTCGTTGATGCAACGGTTCGCGCACAATCATGATGTAATTATTGTCAGTCAGTCAGCTACTGTCAGTACGTCAAAGCAGCCGCAGCGACCAGCCGCCAAGCCAAGGTAGTGATCGTACAACTCATTCACGTTGACAGTGCATCCTGCCGTCGCAGGCGCACCGCTTCCCTGTCTGCGGGCTGTCACCGCGAGCAGCTGGTGTTGGTGTAGTAGCGGCTAAACAACAACAACCAGATAACTTTTATATTATTATTATTATTTATCATTTCGTGTTTGCACTTAACTTCGTCGTCGGCAGTTTAGCATAGTTTCGTTACACATTTTTCCTTTATTTCCATTTGTATGTGGAGCAAAAATGCTGCCGTGCGCCTTTTTCCATTTCAATTGCGCCGGCAAATAAATGCCACGATGTGACGCTCAAAAGTTGAAAGCGTTAAATGCTGACATTTCGCTGACGGATGAATGCGGATGTGATTATTATTTTCCTTTAAGCAGCGCTGGCGACATATCATAGCAGCTGCGCTGTGAGGCGGCGCTTCTTTGCTGTTTGCATTTGTGTGAAATTGTGCACTTATTGATTACTTGCGTTCGGCTCCAGTTCTTCGTTGCGCGCTTGGCAAAAAAAATCGTCTGATGAAAAGTGCAACTGAAAGGCGTCTGTATATACTGAAGTTGTGAGGACGTGCTCTTGGTCGGAAAAGTAGCATTAACCTTTTCTACTGTTCGAAAGGTTAAAGAGAGAGAGTTCTGAGCAGCTCATGGAGTAGAAAGATGAAGAATGTATGTTACTTTACTTTAGAAAAGACCAAAATGTAAAAGTAAGAATTACAAGCCCTTATTGTGGATGATTAATCGGCTCGTCCTTATAAAACTAACTACATTTTTAAGGTCTGGTTTAAGTATTCACGTCTAGACATTAGCAAAAGTGCATCAATAAACTAAGCCTTTAATCTGGTCTGGTCTAAGTAAGTAACAACCCCGGACCAATGACCTCACCTGTCCTAAAATTAACGACAAACATTTTTTGAAATGAATAGATAACGGGTCATTCGCATCGGTGGATGGGCATCAGAGCTAAACGTAAAGGAAATGCAAATTGAAAGAAGAGTATGGAAGTGGAAAGTAAGAAATAAAATGAAAAGAAAATGTAAATAAAGTAATGGAAAGAAAAATTTTAAAAATGAAGAGAAGGACAAAATAGTGAAGGAATTTAAACTAGAAGAAATGAGAAAAAAATGATAGAGGAGAAGAAGCAAAGAGCAAATGAAAAAGAAGAGAGGTGAAATGATTAGATATACGAAAGAAGTGGTAAGAGAAACGAAGTAGAGGAAAAAACTTAAAGGGAAAGAAAGAAAATACAACAAGTACGAGTAGGAAATGGAAATGGCGAAAAGGATTGGGTGGAAAAAGATAGGTTAAGAAATAAAGGAATAGGAACAGGAATAGGAATAAGAATAGGAATAATAATAGAAATAGGAATAAGAATAGGAATAGGAATTAGAATAGGAATAGGAATAGCAATGGGAACTTGAATAGGAATGGGAATAGAAATGGGAATAGGTATGGAAGATTTGAGTAAGGTTTGAAGAAAGAGAGTAAATTTTGTCTTGGGAGAATTTCATGATATTTTTGAAATTCTCACTTGTTGAACAATTTCTGCCACTCATAAAATTTAAGACTACTGTAGCAACTTCTGCTGTTGAAATTTTTTCGAAACCATTCACTTTTCCAAATTGTTACTTTAAACTTTCTATACAAAAAGTTATAAAAATAAAAGATATACAATTTCATTAAACAAAAAGCTTCAAAAGTACGTAAACGCCTTGAAGTGCTTTCACGTTGAAGTATTAAATCCAATGTATGGCTACTTAAATGTATATTTTGTTTGAAAGTTGTAATTAATCCTCAATTATCTGCTTTGATTACATTTTAAAATGACCAAACGGAATCAAGTCGATTATGTTTGGATACAAGTGTTGCAGATAAATTGTTGAGAGATCCATCAAAGCGCCTTTGAACTGCCTACACATAACAAAAATAACAAAAATATACAAGTGCGTATATGAGTTTGAGCGTGTAATGCACTTGTAATTGACAGCAAATTAATTGTCTAGCTAACCCAGTAGGGAAAACATATTGAAGCGGCGAAACGCAAGACAGCAGTTGTTGTAGGTAATGCAAATAAATGCCAAAGAAATTAAAAGCCCTACAGAGTAATGCTCTGTAATTTATTTTTGCTTTTTTTCGTACTTTATTTTCAAATTTCTTTTTACCGCCAACACGCTTTCCAGCAGCACTCTTCAGCGCTAGCTGCTGTCAACGTCACGGCACAACGCCACGTCGTCGTCAATCGTCATCATCAGCGTTGTTGTTGCTGCCACTTTGACTAGTTCATTTAGTGGCGCGTAAATAACCGACGAAATCGCTTCAAATCTTCAATCGAATCATGCTGGCTTTGATCTTTGCCGCCACTTTGGCCGGTTGGATAGCCGATCAGACGACTAGCCGACAGTTTATAGGCCGCATGCGCCAAATTAATCTTGTAAGCAAAACAAAACCAATAAAACAAAGTAATCAAAAACAAAATAAAATAAAAGCTACGAAAAAATAAACGCGTAAATTCGATAAGAAAATAAATATAAAACAAAGTACAAAAGACACAGTGGTAGACGTAGTGAAAAAAAGAAACAAAGCGAAAAATTACAAAAAAAATTTTTTGCTACATAACTTTAAAACAAACCGCAAAAAGCCAAAAGCAATAATAATAAAAAGTATAAAATAAAAAGCGACTTCAATGCGAAATGAGCGGCATTTGGGCGACGACAAAAGCAAACAGCCTACGACCATTTAAATATCTAATTAAATTCAAATCAAATCAGCTATATTTCAATTAACAGCGCTTTCTGATTAAGTGATTAGACGACATTCGAACAATTTACATAAATAAGATTTAGTCTTTGTGGCGCCAAAGCTGCGCATTTATTATGAATATTAATAAGATATAATAGCTGCCTAGTTGAGTTGATTTCAAAACGGTTTTGTTGACTGTGAGAGCTAAGACTTTTGGTGGTGTAGAGAGTTAGCAATCAATTTTCATATTGCATGCACTGTTGGGGAGCTTTTAACGATTGGACTTTGAGGTTGATGAACAAATAAATTATTTTTTCCACCTACTACTTGTTCTAGAGTTAGTTTTATTGTTAGATCTATCTTGGATATATAATATTTGAATAAGGATATAGCGTTCGAATTGGCTCCCGAAACTTTAAACGAGTTTTTTCGAAACATTATTTTTAGAGACGGTGAGGAGAATTTCACCGAAACGGATGTCATTTAATGGTCGAAGGAATAAGATTTTGAATAATATTTTCGATTTGAAAACACTCTAAAGTGAAAATGGACTTTTTTGAGAAGCCGCTATTTTGTCACAAATAAAAATTTTAGCTAGTCCTTCAATCATTACCTCTATTTATCTATAGTAATAATATTTTATTGGTTATTGCATTTGAGATAATTTTAAGCAGAAAAATCTTTCGTACCGCCAGACACCTTTATTCGACAAATTTCAAAATGAAGTATTGATTATTAAATAAAATGCCTCTTCAAAACGAAATTTTCGAAAAATCGCTATTTTCTGTCTTGCAAATAGATATAACCCCTTAAGTGTTTTTTTTTTATTTTTTTTATGATTTCCATAAGAGTTTTAGAGAAATTTTATCTATAGTTTTCAATTCTACCTTAGGTGTTGTTGTAGAAACTGTAAAAGCAATAGACAGTTTTTATAGATTACGAACCGGTCTATAAAAATACGCAACTTGATAAAAGACTCGTGAATTATATGTCTTAACTAAATCAGTTCAGTTAACGAGCTTGTCGTAAAATGAGTTATTGTATGAAAATTTAAATCATGAGAACTTTTTGGAACTTTTCGGTTCAACTCTGTATAATAAATTAAGATATAGTTAAAATCATAAGTGGAAATTTTCTGATGACCGAAGAAAATTGTTAATATTAATCTCAACTCGAACCTCAATTTAAACCTTCTCATCTCTGATAACTTTGCTAAACAGCAACAACAACAAAATAATAATAATAATATTTTCCCATATATTTTCCTGCAGTGTCATTGATTTGCACACAAAGTCAAGGCTTCCCACTACGCATCGAAATATGTTAAACAACAATAACACTGAACAAAGTGCAAACTAGAATCTGCGATAGTCAGGCGCCACTGAAAACCAATCATCTGGTAGCATCGAGAGTTATTTTGCAAATTTTATTATTTTTATTTTTCATTTTCTTTCTATGACATTTTATCAGCATTATCATTAAGCAAACGAGTCATGTTGTTGCTGGTGCTGGTGTTGTCCGGGGAGGCACCATGACACCACTCAACACCGCTCGTTATGAATTCCGCGTTTGATGTTCGCCGCCGTGCGCCACAATTGCTATGCGGCATACCACTTACATGTTAGCGATAATCAAAACTAAATTTCTACTACCGAATGCAATGCGCTGTTGTTGCTATTGTTATTGTTGTTGCTGTCTGCTGCTTCAGTGTTTGCAATTTGCTGCTTTTGCTGGTGTTATTGCTTTGCTGTCTTGCACTTTGCGCTCTTTCCGATAACTGTGCTGCTCACCGCACACTCTCCAATCGCGCGGTTCAACACGGCGTATGAGCGCTTCGCTGCTTTAGAAACAGACTTGCTAATTTGTCTCATTCGACTCATTGGTAAATACTTTGGATTGTGCACTCACATATACACACACATATGTGAATTCGTGCATTTTGCTCATTATTTTCTCGTTCGTTTGGTGTAGCTAATGCGTGTTAATTGCTTTTATGTACAACACCTAAAGTCAAAGTCAATAGTCGTCGATTCCGTCGTCGCCGTCTTGATTGCAAGCTTGAGCGTTTGTCGCGGCTAATAATAAACCAATTAGCGTTCAATTCGGCGAAGCGTCTGTTGGCCAGCGTATTTCAACCGGCGTGCAGCAAAAGCTTCAACTTCGATCAATGAATGATGTATGTGGCCGGGTGTGTGGGTTGCTGTGCTTTGCCTGCGATTGTAAGTGTATTGATTTAAGAAATTTGCATGTTGGGTGCGCAGCTAAACGTGCTTGAGTTAACTTTACAAGCATTTTGAGACGCCGACAAAGGTGGTTTGGATATAAATATGTACAAACATATAATACATAAACTATATAGAGAATAAACTAAGAAAAAATATTGAAGTTGAAGTTCGTTTTGCTGCTTCGATGTAAGTTCTGAAGGTATAAAATATACTAAAATGTATATATATTTTTTATGATACTACAAAATTAATACTTTAAAAGAGAATTTAACTTGGCTTCAAATAATTAGCTGTGCGCCTGAAAATATGCAACAATTTTTTAATAACCTATTAATCAGTTATTTAATAATTGTCTATAATTTCAATAAGTATTCATTACACAATAATTGAAATTTGAGTTTTTTATTGTGGAATATTGTTATCATATAATAAAAAATTTCAAAAATGTAAATTAAGAAACGTTAAATTATTAAATCAGTATATACAATTTTTGTACGGATGTTTTTAAAATAAAGTATTATGCAAATTATTACTACAAAATCAAAAAACCTAATAATAAATTTTGTGCCGTAAAATATCAATAATTTATCAAAAGAAAATATTTGTTTTAAGTGAAAACTATTTAAAAGAAAATAAAAAACTGATAATTTTTTGGGCGAATTTTTTTAAAAATTTTATGAGGTTTTTTAAAAGAAAAGACAATTTTTTTTTTATATTATTAACAAATTAAAAATATTTTAAACAAATTAAAATAATTTTAAAGGGCAATTTAATTAATGAAAATAATGAAACTTAGAAAGGAAAAAATTGTATACATTTTTTAATGCACAAAAATCAAAACCTTAATATTTTAAGAAAAAGTTTTTTTTTAATTATGTAAAAAAATATTTTTTGAAATTAAAATATTTAAATTTTTGAAAGAAAAAAAAATATGTTTTTACTATAACCTAATTTTGCAGGAAAAAATCGTTTTAACAAAAACCATTTTTGCTAAAACGATTTTTTTAACGATTAATTTTTTTGAGGAAAATTTTTTGAATTTTTTAAAAATATTTTTTTATTTGTTTTACGCAAAATATGATTTTTTTTTTACATCTTTAACAAATTAAAAATATTTTATACAATTACAAATATCTTTAAAGTAGTCTTCAGGAGTAAATTATTTCAATATGGTATAAAAGATTGGCAAAATCATACACAATTTATTTGTTCGTTTTTTGCACATTTGTTTGCTACTGTTTCACAAAAAAAAGGTTACATTAAAAGATTTGTAGAAAATTTATTGAATGCAGTAATAATAATTATTATTTTCAATGAAAACAAACATAAATTAACTTTGCAGTGACACGGCTACT